TGACGTTATTGTGACTCGTAATGCAAAAACATCAGAAAAATATGTCAAAATAAATAAACATCGATTCCCGCGATTTATAGCTTATTTGAGAAATATTCTACTATACAGGGTGTCCCATTTAAGTTGAGATTGTAAAAAATCTCGTAGACACGTGATTTAAAGGAAAACGAACCGACACACGTCCTTTAGTATTTCGAGTCAAATGACGCTACTAGTTTTTTAATGCGTGACGTCTTCAAAGTTATTTCAAGATCACCTTGTTTTTTTTTAATGATAAACCTATATTTTTTATTTCGGAATCATAACACATGTAAAAAAAAGTGAACAACTCTTTTTGAAACATTTTTTTATAAGTTCAATATATTTTAAGGTTATTTAGCTGATTTTTCACGTTCGTGTGAAGGATAAATTTGATTTTCTATTAAAATGACAACGTTGCTTTCTTCCGGAAAGTATTTTATCTCATTTAAGAACATCATGCTCGAACAATCGTGTCTCCTCTTCCCTAATTGTCCATCTCTATTTATAATAAATACTCTCCAATTGTCCTTCAGCTTGTAAACAGAAATGAACAATCGCGCCTCCTCTTCCCTAATTGTCCATTCTCTGTTCACATGCTGAGGGACAATTGCAGAGAATTTGCTGTACATACGTGGCTTTTCGGTCCTCTATAACTGTTTCGAGAACCGAAATCGATATTGTAATTGTTTTCAGCCCCCGGTTGAAACTGTGACCCCGCTAAACCACCTCGTGATTCATGGGCCACCCTGTACGATTCCAAGGTAAATTCGTTCTTATTGTTAGTATCGTTCCGCGTAACCATAGAAAAGTAATCGCTTATTGTTTCAGGTATCCCGTTGAGCATTCAACGGTGTCTATTCAAGACAATCTACGCGTATAATATGGCAGCGGTAATCGCGTAACATTTGCAGCAGCGCGTGATAATGGGGGAATGCTCGAGGTTGGAGAACGGGTCTTACCTTGTACAGGCCAAGGTTTTCGACGATGCAGGTGAAAACGGCTTCGCGACCCACCGAGATCGTCAGGTTGTTCAACGGTTTGCCGAACCTGGGTAAATCTGCAACACGAAAGGCCCCTTGACTTAAGTATCCCGTCTCGGCGGACACTTTACATAGCCGCGATACATACGTATACTCACCTACTCGCTCACTTACTTATTGCTACTTATACTTATAACCCAGCCAGCAGCCCGCGCAAGTTTGCAAAGTACTTTAGAAGCTCGCCTGTGAATGGGGCGAGTTAACGTAAACGGGTCAAGCAGAGACTAAGCCTAACCTCTTTATATTTTCAGACGAAATCCTTATCCCATGGACTTTGCGGCAACACGGTCCGATCATCTACGAAGTTACCGACACGGTCATCCTGTATTTCGCGGCATCAGACACGAAGTTTAGGCGAATTAGCCAAGTATCGTGATTTCGGCGGGACGGATCACGGAAGTTGCAACATTTCGATTTCTTCAGTTTCATCTAAATCATTTTTAGGAAGCGTTTCAACTTTCTTAATGCTGTTGAACCTCGATGATTCGGATCTCGGGGAAAGAACTGAAATCTTCGAGTTATAGAGGCTTCGATTTATCGAAGCCTTCGAGTAAGAGAGGTTTGCGCTACGAAAATTCGACTTACAGAGGACAATAATTTAATAATAATAATTTAATAATTTGCTGATTGGAACCACACATTACAGGACATAACCAGACAAAGTATTTCTTTGCATTATTTCGTCTACAGTTTTTAGAATAATGGAGAGATTGCTTGTAGGAATTCCAAAGGTAGGGACATTCTTTTCCTCTTTTTAGCAAATTTTAGTGTATTATTATTATTATCATTATTATTATTATTATTATTATTTCTTTTAGAACTCATTTACTTAACCTAATCACACAGACAATAATTTAATACGCAGAGATGATGCGAATTATGCATCTGACTGACAAAAAACGATTACATAGTTTCCGTATGCATGCTGGTAAAAGTGATATGGGTAGCATTATCTTTTCTGTTGCAGCATTCGAGAGAATTCTAACAGTTGAAATAATGAAGGCAGTAACGATTGATTGATTACTGACACACGACACATAGCTATAACTTCGAATTATAGCGGTAGCGAGGATACAAATTTGACTTGGAGAAGTGAACTTCGACTTCTAGAGGGCCTGGATATTTGAAATTCAAGTTACAGAGATAAGAGAATGCGTTTAAACTTGTGGGAAATAATTCGACAGTTTAATATAATTAACTTAGGAATCAATTTAAAAAATTCTAACAGTTTCCTATCGGGTTCATATTTATTGAATTTTCTGTAAGTGTCCTAATACTTTCGGAGGGAGTTGTACACATCGTAATATCATATATATATATATATATATATATCAATTCAAAAAACAATTTGTTAAATTTACATTATGTATATATAATGTGGAGAAATACAATGAAATATAATGTAAATTTAACAAATTGTTTTTTGAATTGCGATTTGGAGAATTGGAAGACATACGAAATTTAGTCTTTTTATGTTATTTAAACAAAATAGAAATATGTTTAAGAGTATATAAAATTAAAGAAAAGATATACATACTTGCACATACACACATATGCATTCGTAACAGTATACGATACCGAAAGAAATATTTTACCCACCCACCTACTCAAATAAATTTAGAAAAGCCCAAGAAGTAAAAATGATTACGAAAACATGTAGTTTATACCATTTATATTATTTCAACTTCTATTTATTTCTATCTAATTACTTCATCAAATTACATTCATCTAGAAATTGAAGATTTTCGTAGTATAATATTTCACCACAAATCAAATTTTTAACTTTTTGTTTCAAGAGAACCAAACCGAAATTCGTCGAAGCTTGATCTAAAGTATATTCTTTTTAAAAGTCAGCTGTTCGTTTAATTCTGTTTGTATAAATTCTGCGTTGCTATATAATTTCGTCGATTTCGGATATAAACGCGGCAATTCCAAATGTAGAATTTATCCAGAGGAAAAGTAGCTGTACCGGGCAGTGTTATTTTTGAGGAAGGCACTTTATTCGAAGACCTCAGGGACGATGGCGGTATTCAAAGTTTCTCAGGACATTTTCCCTCGTCCCATTCTCGACGGCAATTAACATATCGTGAGACCGGACGCAACGCGACGACATTCAGAAGGATTTATAGGTCTGTTTTTCCTTGGGCTAAGTATCTGTAGATATCGCAGCTTTCGTGAAAACGTCCATGCCTTTCTGTGAAGTTCTGCACTTCCTTAATCGCAGCTTTTCCCACAGACCAGTTCGAAGGAGAATCGTTTAAATCCAATTTTCAAGATGTGCCTGAATCGGGATCGGATGGATTAAACAACCACCTTTCATTCTTGGATAAGGTTAGAGTTTCAAAAATTCACGTAACAGCTTAAATCGCTTCACTCTCAAGTTTGTGTATTTCTTTGCATTGCCAAAAAAGAAATGGTCCTTACGAAGATAACGGGTAGTACACGAAAATAATCTCTTCCAGAATTTCTGTAAAGGTTTTGTTTTTATTTCGAGCAATTTTTATTTCCTCTAAGATTATTTTGCACTTATTATTATTATTTATTTTATTATCGCATGCACGGAAAGTTGTCGAAAAGTTACAATGTTTTACTTTGAAGCTACGTAGGTACGATTGGACTCCATTGCAATCTGTGTTTATAAAGTGTAACGCTATATGACAATGGAAGAGGGTAGTTAAATTTACGTAATTTTCTGATGGGGTTGGTTCTCTGGCTTTCAAATAACGGGCATTGCCATAATACGTAGCTAATGTCCCGTCTTTCGTATTCTCGTTCACATTTAGGATCGATTGTAATGCATATTTGAGCGAGTGAGAAAGCAAGATTATGATGACATGATCTACATCCATTTATCGTTGTTACAATTTCTCGATTCAGATTTCTACTTTGCAAAACGCGACTAATGTATATTGTTTTATAATAATGACACGATTGGATTTGTTCAAACTTCGTACGATTTCCATTACAATGTATAAATATTTACAATATACGGGATAAGCCACAAATTAGTCCCCACGATTTTTTAGCCCCATCCGATGATCTGACAAATTAATGTTTCCCATCGAAGTTAATTACTATTTAACCGACAAGAAATTGCAATTGTATTTTAAAAACAAATTGATTTTCGATCAGAAAAACAAGGTTATTTATTACAAAAAAGCTTAATTATTTAAACAAGGTTATACTCTCTCTCTCTCTAATTATTTTTGATATAAATAATAATATATTTTTGTCAGACCATCGTAAGGAGCTGAAAAATCGTGAGAACTATTTATGGATCATCCTGTACATATTTTTTTGAACTATCAGTATTTTTTAAGATATTTGACAGATCTTTCATGTTCATGTTAAAGATAATTTTGTTTTTCTATTCAAATGACAATGTTATTTTCTTCTGGAATGTATTTTGTTTCATTTAAGAACATTATATCACCAACAAATGCTTCAAACAAAGTTGTATATCTTTTTTACGTAGAATATGATTCCGGAATAAAATGTTTATGATAAAAAAAGAAACAATTTAACCTTGAAGTAATCTTGAAAATGCCCATGCATTAAAAAATTAGTAGTAATTAGAAATTAGTAGTATACTGAAGGATACGTGTCAGTTTTTTTTTTTTTAAATCACACATGTCTCCGAGATAATTTACAATCTTAACTTAAATAGGACATCCTGTATACTTCAGTAAAGAAGTTTATCTAAAAGTTTCTCTGAACATGCTATTTTGACTGGTTTGGTAATTCTCCAGTGTTAATTAGCATATAAGTCACACGATAATAAATCATGCCAGCGATTAATGCGGCAATGTCTGTTCAATTGAAAAATATACAACACTACTTACGGATACTCCCCAATAATGTTTAGCTCTTAATTCGCGAAAATTAACTATCCGGTATTAAAGTGTCAAATCAAGGAAATATCAATTTTAGCCGTCGACCGCACACAAAGTCAATCACTGTCAGTCACCGTCGCGGTGGAAGTCCTTATACCTACCCGTAAGCCTCAAAGTTCGAGCCAAAGTGAACAAGAAGAGCACGAGTGAATAAACTCGTTTAATCAAAAATAGGAGCCGATCCGGAATTCCAACAGTCTGCTTGCAATAAAGTTTCTTCCGTTAGTATTACGTTACGTGTTCGGCTGTTTACGAGCCAGGACTTATTCAGTGAAATAAATTCGCAACAATCGTGAAGACCTAATAACGATTACCTCTTGTTTAACCGTCGTCGTACATAGCGCTTCAAGGCGCTAGGGATTTAAATTATGTCTGCTGCCGGCGCGCCGGTCTGTACGCTCTAAAACGCTCTTGCCTTATTCGGATAGATATACACTGGAATTTGTATTGCATTCTATGGTTGAACAACTAGGTAAAACAATTAGGTGAGTAGATCATTTTGCGCAAAAATTTATTCAAAATCAGACAACAAAATAATTGTAAAATAATTCCGAATCAAATAATCGTCTTCATATGCATTGTTTCACACTTCTTTTGTCTTCACATCGATTTACAACAGTCTACAGGATGTCCCAAAAATGTCTCGCAATCCGGAAATGGCGGGTTCCTCGGATGATTTGAAGCAACTTCTTCCTTTACAAAATAAATAATTCCATTCGGTCTATGTAAATGTAAATGAAAATGTCTATTTATAAAAACGTGGTCTTCTCGTTCTAAATTGCGTCTTTATTCACCTTTCTTTATCTTTTCTGCGAGGGAATTGTAACACCTTTTTGGAACGACGTTTGCAAGATTTATTTATATATGTTTCAATAGTATTTGACAAATTTATGGGTTAAAAAGTTAAAATTAGCGGCATTGGCTACTTTGAAACATAGTCCGATTTCAAAGAGATCGTTCCATGGTGATCGTAATTGCAGCCATTTTGTTTATCTGAATTGAAAGAAAAAAACATGCAGGAATCTTAATTAGCACGAGGCGCTAATTCGGTGCACCGAAATTTTAAAGGCAATTGGTTAAGTCGATCGCGAGAAACACAACATTAAACGCAATTTGCAAGATCA